TTTTTTTTTTTTTTTTTTTTTTTTTTTTTTTTTTTTTTTTTTTAGTGTTTGAAAGGTACAAGAACTACAGCCCTTATGACATGCTGGAGAGCATCAAGAAGGAGGTCAAAGGAGACTTGGAAAATGCCTTCCTGAACCTGGGTAAGCAAGTGTTGACTCTCCTTCCTGGAAGAGAGGACAGAAACAGGAAGAATGAAGGGCCATCTTCTTACTTCCAGGAGACTTGGGCGGTATGGTGGCTTTCCAGCATGCCTTGGAGAGTTTTAGGATTGACTATAGATGTGAAGATGTGAAACCAGACAGAGCAAAGAGTTGCCAGGGAGGACAAAGTCAAGGGGGAGAAGAGAGGACTATCGTGGGGAAGCTCATCTATACACTGGGTTGTCACTGTCCTCCACATCTCGTGATTGCAAATACCACAGTGGACAGAACTTAGTGTGCACAGGACAGTATTCCTTAGCCTTCTGCTTTCTGCATCCATGTGACAGGCCCATTCTGGTCAGTGTCGTGGAGCCAGGGCATCATCTCCCTCATTGCGAGAGAGGCAAGCAGCCTCACTCACCCGACACTGTCTCTTCTCTCCACAGTCCAGTGCATTCAGAACAAGCCTCTGTACTTTGCTGACCGGCTGTATGACTCCATGAAGGTAAGGGTGGCTGACCCAGAGGCCCCATCTCCAGTAGGTTCCTCTTCTGTTTGGGCTCAAATGGAATCTTCTTGATTAGTGTCTAGAGCAGTGGTTCTCAACCTTCCTAATGCGACCCTTTAATACACTTCCTCATGCTGTGGTGACCCCCAACCATAGTTATTTTCGTTGCTACTTCATAACTGTAATATGCTACTGTTATGAATCATAATGTAAACACCTGACATGCAGCATATCTGATACCTGAACCCCAAAGGGATGTCGGCCCACTGGTTGAGACCTGCTGGTTTATAGGAAGGGTCCCCAGTATCTGACAGACGCATGCTAGCTAGCTGAGATTGTATACGGTAGGTGAGAATCACCCATCCACCTTCGCCCAACTGTTTAAGTATGTGTGATGCAGCTCCAGAAGGAAGTGTCACCGGTGGGAAAGGGTTAGGTGACAATGGTGTCTGAGTCCTGCCGGGGGTTTCAGTGATGGCCTCCTGTTATCCCCAGGATAAAATCAAACAGGATTCGAGAGACCATCCGAAGGTACTATGCAACAGCTTTTCAGTTCCCTCCCTCAAGCCCTGGCAGGAAACCCTGAGGGGCTTCCATTTTTACCTTCTTGATGAGAAAGGAAGCTGGAGCCCCAGGTGCCTCAGCTAGCATGTAGTCACATAGCGGGTCTATAGCTGTGTGTTCTTCCCGCATGGACTGCCCAGACCAGCCCATTCCTCAAAAAATCCCACAGTGCTCTGCTTTCCAGGCCTTTGCTTTCCCTCTCTAGAGTATCTCCCTTGTCCATGCCACCCTCCTCCTTTTTTCTTTTCTTTTCTTTCTTTCTTTCTTTTTTTTTTGGTTATTGTTATTGTTTTTGTTTTGTTTTGTATGTCACAGATAACAATTTCCTCAGTGCAGGCTATTCCATGCATTCCTATAGAGCCCTGGAAACAGCATGCTGGCCCTTCCTGTCTGCATCCTTCAGTGTCAGTAGCCCTTTGTTGCATGTGCAAACTTGCAGGCTGGCCCTCCTAAGCACAGAGCTGACTTCTGTGCTGGCTGGAGAGACAGCTCAGCAGCTAAGAGCACATATTGCTCCTGTAGAGGATCTGAATTTAGTTCCTAGCATCTATTCTGAGTCATTCCTAGGCTCCTGAAACTCCAACTACAGGAGCTCTGACGCCCTCTTCTGGCCCCTGTGTGTACACATACGTGCTCCCCTGCATACACATACTTAGAAAATTTAAAATAAATCTTTAAAAATTCCAATGTGCTTGGAAATCCAAGATGCTGATCTTTGTCAAGGGAATAGTTTCACTACTGTGTTTTTAGTCTTGAAAGGCAACAGCACCAAAGACCACATAGATGAGGCTGGAGAGATAGCACAGACATTAAGAGCACCTGCTGTGCCGGGTGTTGGTGGTGCACGCCTTTAATCCCAGCACTCGGGAGACAGAGTAACAGCACCAAAGACCACATAGATGAGGCTGGAGAGATAACACAGACATTAAGAGCACCTGCTGCGCCAGGCGTTGGTGGTGCATGCCTTTAATCCCAGCACTCGGGAGGCAGAGTTCTGTGAGTTCGAGGCCAGCCTGGTCTAAACAGTGAGTGCCAGGATAGGCTCCAAAGCTACAAAGATAAACCCTGTCTCAGAAAAAAACAAAAAAACAAAAACAAAAGAATATTGTTGGCAGATTCTGTGACAATGACTTGAACCTTACAATGTTGCTGAGAACTATAGCTAAAGGGGTAACAGAACTTTTCTGTCACCTCTTTTAAATAAATAATTCTTGAAGCTGTCTGAAATATTTGCTAATCAGAATGCAACGAAGATTTGTTAGATGACTACAATGACCTCAAATGGCACTGTGGAAAGAATTATCCACATATTGGCTCATCTGAGGCATCATTTATCGATGTAGCCATTTAGAAGGTCTTTACATGCCTCCTACAAAGATTTTGAATAAAGTTTTCCTTTAGTCCCCTGCATTGATTTAACTCTGGGACATTTCAGGAGAAGCATTTCAAAAAGGAAGGTGCCTGGAGAGAACAGTGACACAGTGGTGACATTCTGTTTTCTCATTTTGTAGAGAATAGATGCTGGGCACCATGCACCAGGGATTTATATTGAAGACAATCTTTATGATTTGTCGTGGACTCTGTAGGTTCAGAGCAGGATTATACATTTCCCACATGAGCCTCTGTACAGTGGCCATTGGTGTTCACGTTACCAATCCTACAAGACTTGGTGACAATGGAGTCCGAAGACTTTTTGTCTTCTGTGGTACTGCTGCTTCTTGAAGACCCTCAGGAAGACCTGACAGTCTGTGCTCCCAGTGCTCCCACCTCTTCAGTCAGCCTTGTGGCTGTGCATTTTGGAAGGATGGAGAATTCCCAGTGTTCCCACAGGGTTTATACCAGGAGTGGAGCTTAAGCTGTGCATATTCTAAGCAATCACTCTACTACTGAACTAGCATCCCCAGCTTTTTCATTTTTTTAAAAAAAATAATTTGGTATGTGTATCTGTGTGGGTGTGAGCGTGCATGAGCATGTGAAGGCCAGTGTCAACCTCTGGTATCAGTCCTCAGGAACTGTCCACCTTGTCTGTTGAGACAGAATTTCTCACTGAGACTTGGAGCTCACTGGCTGAGTGAGGCTGGCTGGCTAGTGAACCCCAAAGGTCCTTCTCTGTCTGTCCCCAGCACTGGCATTCCAGTGTGCATCATAAGCTCTGGCTTTTTAAGATTGAACTCAGGCCCCAAGCTTGAGAGGAAAGCACGTTACAGTGTAAACTATCTTCCTCCCTCTTCACTTTGAGAAGAGTTCTTACTAAGATGTCTGAACTGGCCTTGAACTTGGGATCCTCCTGCCTCACCCTCCCAGGTAGTGCTCATGGGTATGCACTACCAGGCCAGGCTGCAATTCCCCTTCCTGACATTTGGTCACCAAAGACAACTGTAGAGAGAGTCAGCATGTCCGGACTTCTTAGGGCACATGTTTAAAGCTGGGGACAGTTAGACTCTTCTTAGAAGTTATTTCCTCACTTCACTATTTGCATGTGACCTTAAGAATCCACAAGACTTCAAAGAGAGGCAGCTGAGGGTCCACCCCTTCCTCTGCAGGAAGGTGAAGGTGCAGGAGAAAAGGGGGGATGCAGTGAAGGGTACATTCTCCACCCTTGCAATCATGGGAGGACTTGAAGTACATTTTCCACTGCCCTCCAGAGGACCAGGGCCATGGTACACTGTGCGGGCCTGCAACATTGTCATAGCTTGGCAAGGCTATGGCAGGCTGCTGTGGAATCTGTTCTTTTTTTTCTGACACTGTAATTCTTTTTTCTTTCTGGCCACTTGCAGCAAGACACCAAGGGTGACTATCAGAAGGCACTACTGTACCTGTGCGGTGGAGATGACTGAAGGGCTCAGCATAGTGGATCACCCAGAAGTGGCCCTGCCTGTGTGCCCACCTAATGTCCTAGAGAATCAGCTTGCCACTAATGGACCCGGAGCGCCTCCCTATGAAATGACAATAGAGCCGCAGACCCATCCCCTATCTTAGCTGCCCTAGCATAGCCTGGCTTTCCCTTTCCCTCTCCTTTATGCCAAAGAAATGAACATTCCAGGGAGTTGGCTGTACCGTCTGTGACATGAGACACTTCGCCTCTTATGTAATGTGTCGTGAATAAACCATTTTTACTTTAGAAACAAGAGTGCCATTGCCTTCGCTTCGCATGCCACTGTTCAGAAACCAAACATGCTTGGGATTTGATTGTCCACCCAGGGAGGCTGCCCCTAGAGGAAGAAAGTTCTAGAACCGATCTCCCTCCTCTGGTAGCCACTGTACAGACAAGGCTTTTAAAGGATGAGTGAACTTAAATTATACACAGTTCCAAACTGAGTTCTTAGCCAAGGACTCTAAGCAGTCACCTGGTTCTATGTATACTTTTCCTTGGGAACAATAAACACTTTATTCACACAATGAAATGCAGGCTGGGGACACACCAATGAAATGATTCCATCCCAGGCTAACTTGGTGAACCAATGAGCTTAGTTAGGGTTACTTAAAAGAACATGGTTTGAGGGTTACTAACAGGAGCATCAGTGAAGAAAGTGCCCCTCCCAGCAACAATTGTCTTATATATCCTCAAGAGAGGGCTTGGTGGGCAATACACTTCTCCCCACACTTACCCATCAACACAGTAATGATGTGTACATTCTGGAGAACAGGAGGGATCACAAGTCTTTCCCTGCTTCATGGGGGACTGTTACTGAGCAAGGCATCGCAGCTGCTGAGAGTTCAAGTGGGCAAAGGCCTGGCCATGTTGGAAGACAGCGTCCTACAACACAGGTGTGCAGGAGCCCTGTTTGATTGCTAGCCCACAATAAAGAAAACAATCACTTTGGTCACTCTGTCCATATTTCAAAAGCTCAGTACCCACTCTGGTGGAAATAGAACATTTGCACTCT